TTTCATTTTAAAAACAGTACATTATTTAATTGGCTTTTTAATCTATTATAGTCATTACATCTTGTATATAACCAAGAATTTTCTATTAACATTCTTCTACATTACTGATCTTACTATTCCACTAAATCCAGTAATTCTCAATTTATAGTTAATCTAAATCTATCCTAACCTAACACTAGTTTGTTAAATGGCTTTCATTTTCATTTGACTGCTACGATGTGCAGCATGACCAAACATTCTCTACACACACACACACACACACACACACACACACACACACAAATACATTAAAATCATTATTGAAATTTTTCTATTTATGGTCAGAATCATTTTTTTTTTTTTTTGCCAGTCATGGGGCCTGATCTCGGCCTGGGCGCTGTCCCTCAGCTCTTAAGCTCAAGGCTAGTACACTACCACCTGAGCCACAGCGCCACTTCCAGCTTTTTCTGCTCATGTGGTGCTAGGAATCGAACCCAGGGCCTCATGCATGCAAGGCAAACACACTACCACTGAGCCACCTTCCCAGCCCAGTCAAAATCAATTTCTATATAACTTGATTTTACTTGTTACTACTTGACAACATTCCAAGAAGATCTTGGTACACTATCACCATCTTTTGCATGGTGTGCTAGCACATATATAACCTAATATATTCATTTCATAATCAAAACACAATAAGACGAGACACAATAAAAAATAGTTCAAACATTTGACTTTAGTTTATAAAATATTATTACAAAGAAAAATTAACATTTACTAAATGCTATCAGATATCTCAGAAATTACACCAGATCTACTAGAAGATACACATTTCACACATCTCATTTACATAATACAAGATACAAGAAGTACATTTTGAGTGAATGTCAGTATATAACATTTACAAAGAGAAGAACAAGCATTTTAAATTACACAGTTACAAAGTTCACGTTTTTTACAGCATGTTACCTCCACTTCCACCATCAGCAAATAGGTGCTACAATTTAGGGTCCACCTCCATGCCTCCTTTGAGAACTCCTGGTCAAGCTTCACAGACTACTTTCTGTGCAAAGTACTACCAAACATTTAATCACCCCCTCTAGTGAAGGACCTCAATCCCCTAAATTTACTTGTATTACTGTATATATCACCTGATATGGCAATTTTTTACTTAATCTTTTCTACTCAGCAATTTGTTCAGTGCAGCCCAGATCCATGTTTAACTCAGTTTAATTCCCAGAGTCCAGTAGAATGACACAGCACTTAACATTCTGATGCATTTCTTCTACAACATAAATTATCTTAAGTGCAACTGGTAACTGTCATATCAATAATAAGTCACATTATTTCAAATGCAACTTTTCCAAACATGTTATTATTGCTATCTCCAATCAACAGCAAAAAGATGTGAAATATACTCTAACAATCAACACATTCTTCCTTTTAGCTCAATTTGGCCACACCCTCCTGCTTGGAATTACTTATTGACCAGTCCTCATCTTTATGCACTTCCTTCAGTTTTCAGCCCCTTCAACCCTACTTAATATAGTAACTTTTCCATTTCCATTAAGTCATCTTTACTTACTACTTCTAATGTAAAAACTACTATTTCCAATTAAATTTGTCTGTCAACTATAGTATTTATTGATTAAAAGAATTTTACTTGTACTACTATTAATACTGTTAGCACTCTGTTTACAAAACACTATAGATTTTGTGTAGTCTGTTTCACTGACATTTTCCCTATAAGTCCATATTTTCTTCTCAGAAAAACATGTATTACACTAAAACTAATACACTAAAACTATCTGTGAACCAAATTATGGACCAGTCAATGTTCAAAACTTCTATTCATTCAACAAATATTTACCAATATCAAGATGAATAAAGCACTGCTCTAGCCATAAGAGATATGGCAATGAGCAAAGAATGAGTATGTGTATGTGTGTGTACACGCGCATGTGTGCATGCGTGCATGTATGTGGTGTACACACAGACACTTTTGGATATACATAACTGAACAATATCTATTATATTATTGTTTGAGGTTCATTCTAATCCCTTCTTTTGCAGTTTTTAAAGTTTTTCAGAAGACTCACTTGTTTTCCAAGAGAAGCCATAAACAGAAAATAGAACAAAAAAGATAGTAGCATGCCCTGTCTTCCCACTGCTCCAGCAACAAACCCTGCCCCAGGGACTTTTATCATGGTTTGAGAAAATAAGTAGTCCTTACAAAGTTTCTGAGGGAGGCTTATATTGTTTGAACCTTCGTGCATTTCCCTTTCCTTTGGTGCAGCTGTGCTAGCCTTGACCCCTCAGTCAGTTCTGTGGAAGACTGGAGCTTGTAGAAAGAGAAGACAGCAGTAGACAGCATGAGTCTACAGTGTGGACTTAAAAGGAAGTCTCACTACCATGATGGTATAAGATCTTAACAGGTAAAGATTAAAGTGAAAGTTTAAGCGAAAAGATCTTTAAGAAGCCATTCGTCTTGGAAAAGCCCTAAGTGATTAAAAACACCAACAAAAAATATTCATATAGATCACAAAAGATCTTAGGAAGGAGTCCCCTCATTTGGGGACAATGAGCTTCTGCTCTCTGAGAAGAGAACAGACACAAAAATGTTGAAGAAGTCAATTCGAAATATTCACAGGGTGAAAAATGATATGGGGAAAAAAAAAACCAATAAGAGTGGCCACTCCAAGTGTAAAACAAGGTTTGGTCTAAAGCAGGCCGCACAGAAAAAGCAGCCCTTGTTAATTTTAATGTACTATGTGATTCTTTTGTTTCTTTTGTATGTTCTTCCCCCATGGTATGACCCTGTTTTTACTATATTTGATTCCGTGCCCTGCATCTTATATGTACATTTTTTCTAATTTGGGGACGGGAAGCGAAATAACAAAATGCTGAAATAAGGATACAGGTTGACCCACTGTAACAATGAGATGTACAAGACACTATGTTGAAAATGAACTTTACAACTTGTGGTTGGGAGGTGGGGAGGGAAGGAATGGTATGGGAAAAACAAACGGGGTTAACAATGTTCGATAGGAAATGTACCCATTACCTTATTCATGTAACTGTAACCCCTCTGTACAGTATCTTTACAATAAAAATATATAAAAAAGGAAAAAAGCAGCCCTTCATAAAGACTTTATAAAGGAGAGGAGAGAGCTAGCCGAAGGGACAGTTGCCTTGCTACATTTGTGAAACAGCAAGGGATCTAGCTTAAATGGAGCAGTGAGGGAGTGAGATGACAATTCAGGAGATGAGAGAAAATTATATAGATGAGAGAAGAGGGACAGACATGCAGAGACTTAAAGGCCTTTGTAAAGACCTTAGGTTTTTCTCTGAGCCATGTCGGATATTTAGCAGGATGGATTGATACTTTAAACAGATTGCTTTTCTGGGTGAAGAATGGACTGAAACAGAAGTGTAATGTGGAAGAGTGAAACAGTCTGGGCTCAATTATATTTCTTCAGCATATTTCAAGAAACTACAGATTTCTGCAGACACAGCAATGGATGTGGAAGATTGTCCTTTTATGAAAATAAGTCTAAATCCATCTAGACTAGTAAACAGCAGGTACAGACAGCCATTTCTATATGACAATCTCCTTCCTGCTTTAGGATTTTTCTAAATGAAAGGATTTTTCTTAGGAAAGAGGGGATTAAGGATCTGACCCTAGGTCTGAGAGGCTCCATTTGCCTAACAAGATAACCCTAGCTTTGACTACTTCCTCTACTGGACTTGCCATATTTAGGACCACCTTTCTTTTCCCTAGAAGCCAAAGATCTGAGAATCAATTTGTTTAGTTCTTTACAACAAAATTCAAACTTCTTACCGCATTCTGTAAGTCTCATATTTTTGTGACATTTTTCCTTACAAATATGAATAAATCATTGTTTTCCCCCTCTTATTCTGTATACGATATTATCAGCTCATTTAATAGAATAAAATGACTGAAACTTCAGAGGGAAAAGAATACACTTAAATTTTCCCTGCCATGGGGCTGGGAAGGTGGCTCAGTGGTAGAGCGCTTGCCTTGCATGCCTGAGGCCCTGGGTTCGATTCCTCAGCACCACATAAACAAAAAGAAAAAAAAGCCAGAAGTGGTGCTGTGGCTCAAGTGATAGAGCGCTGGCCTTGAGCTGAAGAGCTGAGGGACTGCACCCAGGCCCAGAGTTCAGGCCCCACGACCAGAACCAAAAAAAAAAAAAAAAAATTCCCTGCCATATATAGGAAAAACCAATAAAGCAGATAGTCTAACTATCCAACCCAGAGATGATGCTGACTGAACCAGACAATAGCATGGGAGTTAAACTGCCAAATTCTTATTCCTTCATTAAAACATAATTAAGTGGATTCCATTCACTATAAACATACTCAAATCAAAAGTAGTAGCAGTAATAGACTCTACAGTAAATGTTTAATTCTTTTAATAATGCCTATGAGATGCTAAGGTATTTCACAGAACAAAAATCTATCACTGAATTTGCCACTACCCTATCATGTTTCCCCCATGGGACTTATACCAATTTATTTCTATTCTTATTCATTTCCAAGTTTCCATTATTTTTAAATGACATGGGAAGGGGAAATAAAGGAACTTTTTTTAATGTTAGATTTTTGTTTTTAATGTTAGGTCAGTGATCTTTCTTGTCTTATTTTTCCTTTTCTCTTGTGTATTTCAATAGATTCCTTTTTTAGAAAAAGCAAACACAAACATGTAAGCAAATTACAACCTTCTACAGTAAGAAAAATAAGAATAGGATAGTTTTCTGTAGTTTTCCATGTCTAAAACATTACCATTGAGAGCAAACTTGTTATTTATTTACACTCATAGTATCTGTCCTGGCTCCCCTAATTTTATCAAAAAAAATCAGAGAACTATGTAGCTTAACGTAATTGCTTAACTTTCATAAGAAAATAGAAACACTAGAAAAACAATATTCTAGTTCACTGATATTCAAAATTATAAAATAAAAAACAAGCTTAATGAACATTTTTGCTTTATTTTTCAATTTTAGTAGCTTCTTAGCATAAGAGGCTGTGTTGAGGTTTCAGGTCAGAAGCTTTTCCTGCCCTGAAGAATTCCCATCCATAAAACAGCTTGAGAACTTAGAAAAAGAAAAGGAATGAAACACAAATTACTCAATTTTATCATGAAACTTCTGTGCCCCCTTCCACCCACATCTACAGCTTAACTTTTTGTGGTTTTTGTTACCAAAGGCTCAGCTACTTTGAGAGAATATTAATAGAAATTTCCACAAATAATCAACTTATTACAAGTAGTGTGACAAAATCTTACATTGTCCTGCAGAGAACATACATTAACCTTTTGCCCAGTATTTTTACAGTGACAAAGTACTTACTCTTTGACAGTTGAAGAAGCTACATTTACATAACTTTTATTACAATGTATTGCTGTGAATGTTCCATTTGCTTACTAATTATTGTTGTACTCTCTTACTGGGACTGATTTACAAAGTAAACATCATTGTAGGTAAATACCACATATAAAAAAAGATTTAAAAAATACAAAGTTCAGTATTATCTGTAGTTTTAGGTACCCACTGAGGGGTCTTAGAACATAGCCCAAGTAGCTAAGGGGTAACTACTATATTAGAAGATTTCATGAACAACTTTTTAAAGAAAAAGCCTCCAAGTTCTTGTTTCCTAAAGGCTTTAGAAACTGTTCACCACAAATAAAAAAAAAAAGAAAACACTTTTGGTTCCCAATGTTTACTTGATAAACCTCAATTTAGAGTGTAGTTGAAGAAGTGGGAGGGAAGGGATGGCAGGGGAAAAGCAAAGGAGGAGACAACAATGCTTGATAAGAAATGTACTCATTACCTTGCTCATGTAACTGTAACCTCTCTTCACAGTATTTTCATAATAAAAAACTTATTTAAAAAACTCAATTTAATAATTGAGACAGTGCTTCAGAACTTTAGACTCTCAGATATGAACTATTTGTTCTAGGATAAAGTACCAAACTATCTGAAAACAGCATACTTTATGAATATAAAGAAGATAAAAATTACCACTCAAAATTTTAAATGGGGCCTAAACATGTAGCTCAGAAGTAGAGTGCCTAGAAAATCCAAGTTCCTGACTTCAAACCCCAATACTGCCAAATCAAACAAAAAATAAAAACAGGAAAAAATGGTAAAATAGAAATATTCATACAAAAATATAACCTCATATATTTTTGGCAAAAACCATTCACAATGAGTGGGCTGCCAATAGCTAAGCGGGCAGAAACACAAATGAGGGATGTAGATCACAAAAATGAGGGATGTAGATAACTACATGAGTCTTACCTTCTGATGTTTTCCATCGCTTCCACAAATCCTCTACAGTTATATGCTTATCTTCTCTGTGCAAATGGCTGTGCTTATTAGTAGCATCTTTATACTTCATGTCTTCTCTAATAAACTACAGAAGAAAAAAACACTAAGTTAAACATGCCTTAATTTTGTCTTAATAAACTGAAAATTAACGTCTGACATGAGGTAGGTGACTATTTTCATACGATAACCAGTAGGTTGTTGGTATTTTCAGTTGTATTATACACCTATGTTTATTAACTATATTTTATGAAGTAGATGTCTTATACTAGTCATCACAGCAATAGTAAAATACTTATCAAATGTTCACTGTTTAATGGGCACTAGTCTAGGTCACACAATAAATACGCCAACAGCAGTATATATACACACACAGAAACACAGATGCATTTCATTTAAGTTTATGTAAATCCTATGAAGTACTATTTCTATCTATTTTATGAATAACAAACTAAGACCTAAACAGCTTAATATGTCTGAGGTAAAATTCCAATTCAAGAAATGCTTATAGAGAAAAACTTAACATATACTCTAAATATTATACATTTTTACTAAATACTTGGTGGCAGGATGTTTCAAAACATAACCAACCCTAATTTCCTCACTCACAGCATCTTACCTTTAAAGCTCTGACAACAGAAGCGTATTTATTACTATATTCAGAAACAGAATATTTTATAAACCTGAAGTACAAAATATATTAATTTTATTTTACAATATGCAGAAAAAGCACTAAACTAATTTTAGTTAAAATCTAACCAGCTCTGTATCACTTCTTTGTGTCCCACTAACAAATAAAAGCAACCTTTTTATGGCTTACATACCATTTGTTAATCTTTTAGACTTTACCTCCAGATAGGTCATTAAAATAAACTCATTATTCCAATTAAACAATCAAGTAGGATTTTTATTCTTATGCTTCCTATGCCAATATTTCTCTTTTTTCTTCTTGTTTTGCTCAGTATCTGTATTGATTTTTCACAAAAATAAACTCACAGGGCACTGGTGGCTCATGTCTGTAATCCTAGCTACTCAAGGGCCTGAGATATGAGGATTATAGTTCAAAGCCAGCCAGAGCAGGAAAGTCTGTGAAACTCTATCTCTATTAAATTTGGAAAGAAAAGAAAGGAGAGGGAGAGGGAGAGGGAGAGGGAGGGAGGGACGGAGGGAGGGAAGGGAAGGGAAGGGAAGGAAGGAGGGATGAGGAGGGGAGAGGGAGGAGCTAAGTGAAGCTATAGCTCCAGTGGCACTACTAACCTTGAGCAAAAAGTTCAGGGACATAGCCTGAGTTGCCCCCAAAATGGCACAAAACAAAAAAAACTCATATAAAAGATTATTTCATAAATCAGAATACAGAATGTATTTTTTTGCTTTTGAACTATTCTATACTAAACTACTCAATAGCTGTATAATAATAAACAAGTAATTTCTCTTTTGAGCTTTAATGGCATTAGGTACAAAATGAAGATAACAAGTATGTAGGATCAACCATACTATTCAACTTGCAGTCCATAAAGCAGTGTCAGTCAGCCCAGATACTGTTCCACAATGTGTGTAAAGATTGTGAATAGCCACTAAGGACCTTTTAAAGGAATTAGAAAATGCTTTCAGAGCATTTGTGCCAGCCATGTGATCAGTGTACTAGTTTTATGGCCTCTTTCTCTAATGGATGGGAAACTAAAAATCTGGTTCTGCGTTATCAATGTGTTTGAAAAGCACTAATGTAAATGATTTACTTCCACATTTATGTATTTTGTTGCTCTAAATAATGCCTTCTTCTTTTACTCTAACTTCTTTCTGAAGGTATACTGAAGGAGGCCTGCCTGAATGCTCCCAAACCCTCCTGCTCTTCCTGACTGACACCTTTAGAAGCCAGTAGAGATACCTGGAAAGATCATTGCTACTGATGCTTAGAAACTGTCTCAATGTTGGAAGAGGTCCAAGAGCTGCAGAGAAAATCTAGACTGAAAACCATGATGACTGACAGAGCTGGCAGGAAGTCTGTCTTGGAAATTGTCCAGTCCAACTGGAACAAATGGCAACTGTTTCATTTATGTGATACATATTTAAAACAATGTCCTAGGAAATTCTTCACCATATGAACACCAAGAACAGGAAAAGTTCAATCCTGTGGTTTCAGAACCACAGTTCTGAAAGAAGGTAATTTCCTCAAGACAAAATGTAGTACTCTAGCTACCTGATCAGGATGAATTTGTGGATGCTTACTAAAAATGTAATTAACAAAATAAAAATATCTAAGAAAGGCAATTTAAAACAATAAAAACTTACAATATTTCATTTAGAACTAGCTAGTACTAAGAAAACTGAGTAAAAAGTGAATATACTAAATTATACTTTCCCTGGACTTATTGTCTAGAAATGCTTCAGATTTAAAACTTGACCCCAGTTTAACATAAATCAACTATAAAAAACAAAAGATATCCTATATCTTACAGCTCTTTATTATTCTGGCCCAATAATGAAACCGGAAAACACTATAATCACAATTAATTTTTGTTGAAACTAAGCTGGAAAATGTTTGAGCAAACTAAACACTATAAGCTATCAGTTTCCACCAAACTCTGTTCTCAATGTCCTACAAAAAAGCTTTATAGAAAACCACTGGATGGTAAGGAAACAAAGGAGGAGGCAACAATGTTTGGTAAGAAATGTACTCATTACCTTGCTCATGTAATTGTAACCCCTCTGTACAGTATTTTCCACAATAAAAAAAACTTTAAATAAACAAATAAATAAAAGAAGACTGCTAATTTTATAAAAGAGGCAAGATAACAATATACATTTAAAAATCAGTCAAGAATAACCAAAAAGGCAAATAAAAGACAAATGATTTTTATTTATTGAAATCTAAAAACAGAATCTGGAATTTTATTAAGAAAATCTTTAAGTGATAGTACAGCAAATAATGTACACTTCACTGGTAAACATAATCCAATTATATGCAAAACTACCACAGGAAATTCTCTGGTAACAATACAAATAGAGAAATGAACAAGAAATGTCTATTGAATATTCTTCTCAAAAATATTCATCTAGATAACTTTTTTTTGGTCGGCCAAGGGGCTTGAATCCGGGCCTGGGCGCTGTCCCTTAGCTCTTCAGCTCAAGACTAGTGCTCTGCCACTTGAGCCACAGCGCCACTTCTGGTTTTGTGAACAGGTTTTTTGGAGATAAGAAGTTCAGGGACTGTCCTTCCCAGGCTGGCTTTCAACCGTGATCCTTAGATGTCAGCCTCCTGAATAGTTAGGATTACAGGTGTGCGCCACCACCAGACTAGATAATTCTTTTAAATCAACTATTCTAGTACCATTAAAAGAATTTGCTTTATACTAAACTTAGGAATTTAGTTTTAACATAATAAACTGACTTGTTTCTTGTACTCATAGGACATGTATTTGTGCTAAGTTATTTTACCTACCACTTTAACAAAATCTGATACGTTACTGAATTTACTATTTAAAGACTTTAGTCCAATTGCTTTCCCCAGGAACTATCCACCACCATCAATACAGATGCCTGCATATGCCCAGTCACCTCTCCTTCAACCTGCCACCCAATTCCACAGCTATTTAATCAAAAGATACCTAACTAGAGAACAATTCCAAGCCTATCCCAGAGAAACACATTTCTTTCTAAAAATTCTAACCAAAAAAAAAAAAACCCTGCAATTAATATCATAAAGAGTTGCACTTCGTACTCATGTAGATTTCTTAAAGTGGGATAAATGCAATGGTGTTCAAAGTACCATTTTATGGGCAATACAGATTGGCCAGGTAGTAAGAGAAACCGATAACACCAATAAATATGCACAGAAAAAAATAATGAAAGAAACAGAGGCAACCAGGCAGACAGAAGCGGGTAGCATTAGTAATTTGCCCCGGTGCTTAATTACTTAGTTTCAGCTTCTCAGAAAGCCTGAGCAGCACAGCTTTTATCACTGTTTTCACCAACACAAACCATGTTACTCCTTTTATTTTTAAACTCACAAACCTCAAAACCCAGGAGACATGACTTAATGCCATAGTTAAGCACTCAAGATCCCAGAGTCTGACAGACATATACTCGAAATCTGACTCCACTACACAGACTGTCAACATTTGCAAGCTTCTCTTGAGCCTCTTATTTCTTTTTTGTTCAAGGAAGCAGACAAAATGGCCCACCACATACAGTTATTTAAAAAATCAAACTTAAAGTAGTGTGCACAGAAAAAATATTTGACAAGCATAAATACAGTATGAATAAAGTATTAATAATTTCACACAGTGTTGTTAGATTTAACATGTTTCTGTGACTAACAAACACTTAAACTGTAATCTTGCCCAATACTGATAGAATTCCATTTCAGATATTCTGAAACAAAATACATAAAACAGAGATGGAGAGAAACACCACAGATTCCTCACTGACAATGTAAGCAGAGATTCTCCCAAAGGACACCTGTCGTCAAAATAACACCATGTCCAAGGTCTGATATTTGAGTCAGTTAAAACAGATGGATTCCTAATAAACAATTACAGGGTCTTCCTGTCTTGAAATACAACTCAAATAGTTTAGTATAATGTTTCATAAGGAAAAAGACATAAAAACATTAAAAGAAGATTCAATTACTGGGAGCAATTTTTTTAATTTCTAATATTTATCACTATGCTAACACATTGATTCCCCAAGCTCTTAGATAAAATACCATAGTGATAAAGTAGAAATTACCAATGTTTCTCTCTCCATCCTACAATTGTTAAATTGAACAATATGGTAGATCAGAGCACAAATTTGGTCAACAAACTACAGAGATAACCTAAATCTCTCACTAGTTATGACCTCAACCTCCACGCCTCCATGTCATCTACAAAATGGTAACAACCTCCAAAAGGTTGGAAGGATTAACTTACATATTCTACATGAAGAATAAAAAAACACGCCTGATACATGTCAAAGGCATTCAATAATGGCAATTATTTAAATTTCATAAACCACAACTTATTTTAAATTTTTACCTGTATTTGCAAAATTTGTACCATTTCTTAAAAAGGTGAAGATAAGGCTGGGAATGTGGCTAAATGGTAGAGT